GAGAAACAACAGTATTTTCAACAAATAGTGAGAAACTAGACATCCACTTGCAAAAACACAAATCTAGACACAGACCTTATACCTTTCACAAAGATGAATTCAGAATGGATGAATCATAGAACTAAATATACAACATGAAACTATAAAATCCCTAGAAAATGCAGGAGAAAATCTAGGTAAACTTGGGTTTGGTGATGACTTCTTAGATACAACACAAAAAGCACAACCCATGAAAGAAAAAAATTGATCAATAGGTCTTCATTAGAATTTAAAACTTCTAGGCCAGGTGCGGTGGCTCACACCTGTAATCTCAGCACTTTGGGAGGCCAAAGCAAGAGGACTGCCTGAGTCCAGGGGTTCAAGACCAGCCTGGGAAACTTGGCAAGACCTCGTCCCTATAATAAATCAAGAAGATTCAGCTGGACGTGGTGGCACACGCCTGTAGTTCCAGTTACTAGGAAGGCTACGGCGGAAGGATTGCCTGAGCCCAGCAGGTCCAGGCTGCAGTGGCCATGAGCGTGCCACTGCATTCCACTCCAGCCTGGGTGATAGTGAAACTCCAACTTAAAAAAAAAAAGAAAACACAAGCCACTGACTGGGGGCAAATCCTTACAAAACACATATCTGATAAAGAACTGGTATCCAATATACAAAAAACTCTCATAATCCATCAATAAGAAATCAAATTCAAATGAAAAATGGGCAAAAGGCCAAGTGCAGCAGCTCATACCTAAAATCCCAGCCCTCTAGGGGGCTGAGGTGGTAGAACTGTTTGAGGCTAGTAGTTCAAGATCAGCTTGAGCAATATAGTGAGACATCATCTCTACAAAACAAACAAAAAAATAGCAAAAGATCTGAACAGACACCTCACCAGAGAAGATGTACAGATGGCAAATCAGCATATGGAAAGATGCTCAACTACATGGCATCAGAAACTGCAAATCAGTCCAACAATGAAATTAACATTATAACCTTCCTAGAATGGCCAAAATCCAAACACCAAATACTGCTGGAGAGTTGAAGCAACAGGAACTCTTATTCACTGATGGCAGCAATGCAAATATGATCTAACAGTGTGCTCTTTCCCATCCACCCAAATGAGTTGAAAACTTATATCCACACAAAAACCTGCACATGAATGTTTATAGCAGCTTTATTAATAATTGCTAAAACTTGGAAGCAACCAAGATGTCTTTTTTTTAGTAGAAATCTTTTTATTTTTTTAGTTAGAGTCTCACTCTGTCACCCAGGCAGGAGTGAAGTAGCACACTCACGGCCACCACAGCCTCGACCTGATGGGCTCAGGTAGTCTTCCACATCAGCCTTCCAAGTAGCTGGAACCACAGGCATGTGCCACCACACCTGACTAATTTTTTAATTTATTGTAGAGACGAGGTCTCGCCAAATTGCCTAGGCTGGTCTCAAACCCATGAGCTCAGACAATCCTCTCACTTTGGCCTCCCAAAATGCTGGGGTGACAGGTATGAGCCACCGCACCCAGTTCAAGATATCTTTCCAAAGGAGAACAAGCCAGATGCAGTGGCTCATGCCTATAATCCCAGCACTTTGGGTCAAGGCTGCAGTGGCCTTGAGTGTGCTATTGTACTCAAGCCTGGGCGACACAGTGAGACTCCAAATTAAAAAAAAAAAAAATTAGCTAGACGTGGTGGCACATGCCTATAGCTCCAGTTACATGGAAAACTGAAGCAAAAGGATCACCTGAGCCCAGCAGGTAGAGACTGTGACGGCCATAAGTATGACACTGCACTCCAGTTTGGGCGACAGAGTGAGATTCCAATTCAAAAAACAACAAAAAAAATAAATAAATAAAAGAAGACTAAATAAACCATGGAATGTCTACATAATAAAATATTATTCCAGGCTAAAAAAGAACTGAGCTATTGGGCAACCCCTTCAGGTCCCGTCCCACTGTGGGAGGTTTCTGTCCTCTCAATAAATCCTGCTTTTTTTTTTTTTGAGTTGGAGTCTCACTCTGTCACCCAGACTGGAGTGCAGTGGCCGCTCCTGGCCACCGCAGCCTTGACCTGCCAGGCTCTGGCGATCCTTCCGCCTCAGCCTTCCAAGTAGCAGGAACTACAGGCGCGCGCTACCACACCTGGCTAATTTTTTTTTTCATTTATTGTAGAGATGAGGTCTCGCCTGCCTAGGCAGGTCTCGAACCCGCAGGCTCAGGCAATCCACTCACCTCAGCCTCCCAAAGGTGCGGGATTACAGGCTGAGCCACAGAGCCCGGCTTAAATCCTGCTTTCTAAGAAAATAAAATAAAATAAAAAGCTATCAAACCACAGAAAGACATAGAGAGGCTGGGCACGGTGGCTCAAACCTGTAATCCCAGCACTTTGGGAGGCTGAGGCAAAAGGAATGCCTGAGCCCAGGAGTTTGAGACCAGTCTGGGCAACTTGGTGAGACTTCATCTCTACAGTAAATCAAAAAGTTAGCCGGGTATGGTGGCATGCATCTGCAGTTCCAGCTACTTGGAAGGCTGAGGTGGAAGGATCACCTAAACCCAGCAGGTGGAGGCTGTGGTGACTGTGAGCATGCCATTGCACTCCAGCCTGGGTGACAGAGTGAGACTCCAACTCAAAAAGGAAAGACATAGAGAAACCTTAAATGCATACTGCCAATGAAAGAAAGTCAACTCCAAGAGGGCAGAAATTCTGATTTGTTTACAGCTATATCCCCAGCATTTAGGACAGTGTCTAGCCAAAGTGGACACTCAAATATTTGGTGAATAAATAAACATACAAAACAAAAACTTTTAAAAAAGTCATCCCTAAGCCGGGCTCGGTGGCTCAGCCTGTAATCCCGCACCTTTGGGAGGCTGAGGTGAGTGGATTATCTGAGCCTGCGGGTTCGAGACCCGCCTGGGCAACTTGGTGAGACCTCATTTCTACAATAAATCAAAAAGTCAGCCGGGCGTGGTAGCATATGCTTGTAATTCTGGCTACTCGGAAGGCTGAGGTGGAAGGATCGCTGGAGCCCAGCAGGTTGAGGCTGTGGTGGCCAGGAGCAGCCACTGCACTCCAGTCTGGGCGACAGAGTGAGACTCCAACTCAAAAAAAAAAAAAAGTCATCCCTAGCCGGGCTTGGTGGCTCAGCCTGTAATCCTGCACCTTGGGAGGCTGAGGTGAGTGGATTGCCTGAGCTCGCGGGTTTCGAGACCCACCTAGGAAACTTGATGAGACCTCATCTCTACAATAAATCAAAAAATTAGCCGGGCGTGGTAGCACACGCCTGTAATTCCAGCTACTTGGAAGGCTGAGGCGGAAGGATTGCCAGAGTCCCAGCAGGTCGAGGCTGCAGTGGCCGGGAGCGTGCCACTGCACTCCAGGCTGGGCAACAGAGTGAGACAACTCAAAAAAAGTCATCCTTGACACCTGCCTCTCTTTGTCTCACCTCAATAGTTAATTTGTCAGCTCTGATCTTCCAGAATCTGACCACTTCTCACAACCTCCACAGATTCACCATGGGCCAAGTCACAGTTGTCTTGCACCTAGATCATTCCATTGAGATTACTACCTCCTCACCAATCTCCCTGCCTCCACAACCTATTCTCTGCAAGGAAGGCAAAGGAAGCCTGGTAATACTAAGTCTAGAAGATAGCAAGCTCCTTTAAAGGGCCAGAAAGTAAATCATTTCAACTGTGTAGGCCAAGCAGGCTTTGCTGCAACAACTCAACTGTGCAGAAGCAGCCATAGCCAATATGCAAAAGAACAAGCACAGCTGTGTTCCAATAAAACTTTATTAACAATAATCCAGCAGGTCGAGGCTGCAGTGGCCGGGAGCGGTCGAGGCTGCAGTGGCTGGGAGCGGCCACGGCACTCCAGTCTGGGTGACAGAGTGAGACTCCAACTCAACAACAACAACAAAAAAAACACAATAATCTAGCTGGGCTCAGTGACTCATGCCTGTAACCCCAGCACTTTGGGAGTCTGAGACAGGTGGATTGCTTGAGCCCAGGAGTTGAGATCAACTTAGAGAACAGAGCATAACCTCATCTCTCAAAAAAAGAAAAAAAATCAGTTAGGCATAGTGGCACACACCTCTAGTCCCAACTACTCAGTATGCTGAGGTGGAGGGGATCACCTGAGCCCAAGAGGTCAAGGCTGCTGTTAGCTGTGATCACTGTAATCATGCCACTCCACTTCAGCCTGGGTGAGAGAGTCTGACTCAAATAATAATAAGCTGGGTGTGGTGTCTCATGCCTGTAAAATCCCAGCACTTTGGGAGACAGAGGGAAGAGGATTACCTGAGCTCAGGGGTTTGGGAACAGCCTGCACAACATGGCAAGACACATAAATCATAAAATTAGTTGAGCGTGGTGGCACATGCCTGTAGTTCCAGCTACTTGCAAGGCTGCGGCAGAAGGATTGCCTGAGTCCAGCAGATGGAGGCTGCGGTGGCCATGAGCGTGCCACTGCCCTCCAGCCTGGGAGACAGAGTGAATCTCTGACTCAAAAAAAGAAATCATCATCATCATCATCTAATGATCCCTGCTATGGCTGCATCATGTCTGTCCTCTATTTCAAACCCTCTCACAGGTAATAACATCCAAAGTCCCATTTACCTGTCTGTGTCTCTTCCTATTTTCCAAGTACCCAGGCTGCTCCAGTTCAGTCCTCCCTCTGGGCCTTTGCAGCTGCTGTCCCTCTGCCTGGAGCGCCACACCCACATGGTTGTCATTGCCATGAAGTCATCCCTGGTCCTCCGATGTAAACTCGACACCCAACCCTCCCCATTTCCCCGATTGCAGGGAGCATCAAGCTGATGGCTATATATTAGGGACTGCACTGTCTCCTCCTCGTGCTCACTGCTGTGTCGCCAACACCTAGAACCGTGCCTGGCAATGGATGATGTTCCCCCTCCTCCTGTGGAATAAGTGCACCAAGAGCAGACACTGGCAGGGCCTTGGGAAAGGGAAAGAGTGACCGAGAAGGACCTTGGGCCTGCGTGAACCCATTGGGCGGGTTCTTCCTCACCTAGCTGGCCCTCCACCAGCTTCCTCTTCCAGTTTCTCCTCACACTGCTGATGCTCCTTGCTCTCCCCCAATGGCTGCGGCTCCTGGTCCTTGCACTCTACACGGGGCATGTCCACCTGCGAGCACGGCCAGCGCTTGAAGGGCAGAAGGAGGGAAGGCGAGAAGTGGTCAGAGCATCCTTCTCCTGACCCGACCCCTCCATCCTGGGCACCTCGGTGTGCCACTGTGGCACGCAGGGACCCCCAGAAGAGACGCGTGGAGTTGAGGTGGGCACCGCCAGGACAGGGGCTTAGGGTAGAGGTCCACTCTTTCCCTGGAGGAGACCTGAAGGGCCACGGTGGGGGCAGGGCTCTGGGAGGAGAGCCAGAGTAGGGCCTGAGCTCCTAACTCGTGTGTGTCGCCCTGAGTCCTTCGAGGAAAGAGAGGGAGGAAAAGAAGAAAAAAAGAAATGGTTGCGGCACATGCGTGTCTGTGCCTCTCTCTACCCTCCTCCTGCCACGCGCCACGCGTGGAAGTCCCCATTCTAGCCGCGACAGTGCGTCAGTCAGGGTCCGGTCAGTCAGTCAGGAAATTGGGGCCAGGCCTGGTAAGAGGCAGCCTCAATGGCATAAGACAAGCGGCCGGGCTCGGGTCCGCAGAGGAAATTGGAGATCGCGGCCGTTTCCCGCCAGTCCGCCCGCCGCCCGCGCGAAGTGAGCTAGCGCCGCGTACTCCCTGTCGCTCCATCTTGTCTTTTCCCGCCTTTACGTTCGCGCCCTCTGAGCATGCGCCGGTCCCGCCCCCCGGCACGCTCCCACCCTGCGCACGTGCTACAGCGCGCTCTCCTGGCCCCGCCCCCTTTGAGAACTTGCGCAAGCAGCGCGGCGCGATACGCCGTTAAGAGGCGGGTTGGCTGACCAGGGGCTGCGCGCGCAGCCGGCGACGCCTGGGACAAGGGGGTGTGTTCGGCGCATGCGTGTACGCACGTGTGCGGTTCCAGGGTCCAATAAGACCGTGGCTTCCAAGGAGTTGTGTGATCTTTCCGTCCGTCTCAGGTCTTCTCTGCCTTGGGAGATCTTTCCAATAAGAAATTCTGACTCTTGCTGTACCCTGATTACGACCACGGCTCTCTATTGTCCTCATTAAAGAAAATGTATGCGCCGGGCGCGGTGGCTCTCGCCTGTTATCACAGCACTTTGGGAGGCGGCGGCGACAGAATTGCCGAGTCTAGGGGTTCGAGACCAGCCTGGGAAAATTGGCAAGACCTCCCCCCCGTCTCTACAATAAATCAAAAAATTAGTCGGGCGTGGTGTCGTGCGCCTGTAGTTCCAGCTATTTGGAAGGCTGAGGCAGAGGGACCACCTGAGCCCAGCAGGTCGAAGCTGCGGTGGCCGTCAGGGTGCCACTGCACTCCAACCTGTGCAACATGGTGAGATTCCGACTCAAAAAAAAAAAGCATGGCGAGGCCTCCCCCTTACAGGTTGACCCTTACATGGTAGTATCTCTGCATAATAATAATCCCTTAATAGTAATAGTAACAACAGTAATAATTGGCACAGGTGGGGCAAGACTGTGAGAATATTTGCAAAATACGTATCTAAGAAATAACTTGAATGCTATAGGTACAAGGAGCTCTCGCAACTAAATAAGACATATGATCCATTTTTAAAATGGGCGCGGGTGGCTCACGCCTGTAATCTCAGCATTTTGGGAGGCTGAGGTGAGAGAATTGCCTGAGTCCAAGGGTTCGAGACCAGCATGGACAACTTGGCAAGACCTCATCTCTACAATAAATCAAAAAGTTAGCCGGTTGTGGTGGTTTCAGTTCTTTGGAAGGCTGAGGCAGAAGGATCACCTGAGCCCAGCAAGTTAAAGCTGTGGTGGCCTGTGGCACTGCACTCCAGCCTGGGCGACAGTGTGACCCCAGCTTAAAAAAAAAAGAAAATTCTGCTCTTATCTGCAGCTGATTTCTTTTTTTGTTTTGTTTTGTTTGAGTTGGAGTCTCACTCTGTAATCCAGGCTAGAGTGCACTGGCACACTCACGACCTTCGACCTACTGGGCTCAGGCAATCCTTCAGCCTCAGCCTTCCAAGTAACTGGAACTACAGGCACACACCACCACACCGGGCTAATTTTTTTTGGTTTTTTTTGAGTTCGAGCCTCACTCTTGTCGCCCAGACTAGGAGTGCAGTGGCCGCTCCCGGCCACTGCAGCCTCGACCTGCTGGGGCTCCGGCGATCCTTCCACCTCAGCCTTCCAAGGATCTGAAGCTACAGGGGCGGGCTACCACACCCGGCTAATTTTGTTTTATTGTAGAGATGAAGTCTCACCAAGTTGCCCAGGCAGGTCGCGAACCCGCGGGCTCAGGCAATTCACTCACCTCAGCCTCCCAAGGCGCGGGATTACAGGCTGAGCCCCCGAGCCCGGCAAATTTTTTTACTTACTGTAGAGATGAGGTCTCGCCAAATTTCCCAGACTGGTCTCAAACCTGTGGGCTCAGGCAATCCTCTCACCAAGGCCTCCCAAAGTGCTGGGATTATAGGTGTGAGCCACCGCACCCGGCCAGACTAGGGGCTCTTTTCAAACTCATGTCTTTTTAGTGTCTCAAGGTAGATTCTGTTCAGACATGTTATAACAAGTTGATATGAGTTTATTTTGGCCCAGGTGCAGTGGCTCATGCCTGTAATTCCAGAACTTTGGGAGGCAGAGGTGAAAGAATTGCCTGAGTCCAGGGGTACAAGACGTCATCTCTACAATAAATTTTTTTGTTATTGTTGGAGTAGCTCTCTGTCGCCCAGGCTGGAGTGCAGTGGCACACTCACGCCCACCCCAGCACTGACCTGCTGGGCTGCAGCGATCCTTCTGCCTCAGCCTTCCAAGTAGCCAGAACTACAGGTGCATATTACCATGCCTGGCTAATGTTTGATTTATTGTAGAGACAAGGTCTCACCAAGTTGCCTGGGCTGGTCTCGTACCTGCAGGCTCAGGCAATCCACTCACCTCGACCTCCCAAAGTGCTGGAATTACAGGCTGAACCACCAAGCCCGGCCTCTACAATAAAAATTTAAAATTAGTCAGGTGTGTTGGTGTGCACCTTTGGTTCCAGCTACTTGGAAGACTGAGGTGGAAGGATCACCTGAGCCCAGCAGGTTGAGGCTGTAGTGGCCATGAGCATGCCACTGCACTCCAGCCTGGGCGACAGTGAGATTCCTATTCAAAAAAACAAACCACAACAACAAAAAAAATTTATTTTGGCACAAAAAATTTTTAAAATTCATGCATACATTTTTCAAATAATGCATCTTCCATGAACTTTTTGAAGACCTTTCGCATATAAGTAATGACATTTAAAACACATGAGAATGACCAACGCTCAATTCAGGAGAGGGTAACCTTAGCTGGGCAGGAACAGAAGGAAATAGGACAAGCCTAGAGACTTTCTAACTCACAGCCACAAAGACTGTTAGGAAGATCCAAAGCAAATACAGCTGTAGGGTCTCAGAAAATGATATCCCAAAATGAAGCCCTCAGAAGCAGCTCTCCTACCTCCTGTCCCTGGCCCTTCCTTCTCCTCTGAGGCTGGCCATAGAAGAATAGAATCCCTTTGCTCTAATGTGTCATGGAGACCAAAACCTTTCCCCCAAAGCTAGCCACAAAACCTAAAAATACTACTGTAATTTATCCCCTGCCTTGCTGTGTTAAAACTGGCCATAAGCCGGGCTCAGTGGCTCAGCCTGTAATCCTGCACCTTTGGGAGACTGAGGTGAGTG